TCAAGGTCTCATCTTTATGAATTCATTTAACCTTGAATCTTTCCTTGGAGGGGATATCTCCAAATCGATATAGCCATAGTGGGGGACAGGACTATGAATTCTGGAGATAACATACTAGTCCATAACAGCATACAAAAACTAGAGGACAATGGCCCCTACTTTGGAATAGTTCCGATATAAAAGACTAGGAAAAGTACAGTAAGGGGCCCTGGGCCCTCCCTGGTGTTGCAGCGGGTTAAAGTGCAGCACTACGAAGCTAGACGCAGCACCTTCGGCGCTAAGTTAGATCCCCACCAGGGGCTAACCTACATGGCATGGCAGACCCCTTGTCTCACCCACTGCTCCCCTCAGCAGTGTATTTCGCTCCCCGGCTGTATCTGGTGAATCCTCACTGCCCCAGTACCTCTGGCCTGTATCTCAGTTCCCTATGCATAAATAAATCTTTTAAGAAAAAAGAAAACTCAGTGTGAATCCTCAAAGTACCTCCCTGTGGAAATTACTGTTCAGATGAGATGTAGCTGTTCAGGAAGTACAGCTATGAGTGTTTTGAGGAGTTGTGAATAGGGAGGATAGGACAACAAAGGAAAAGTGGTGTGCTGAGAGCGACAATAAAAGCCGACTCAAATTTTATATGAAATCTTTTCAAGTGTATGGTTACTATTGTCTAGCACTTTAGAACTAAAAGAGACTCAGCTCATAAGAATTTTGAAAAAGAAAAATATCAAGATGGTTTTACTGATAGGAGGAATATAGGGGAACCAAATGATGGACCAAGGAGGGGGGGTGGGAATAATAAAAATAAAAAACACAACAAAACCAAACAATAAAAAGACAACTACAATTAGAGACGTTCTCTAGAGAGAGGAAAGGAGAGCCCAGAGCTAAGACAGGAAGAGCACACGGGACTATGGTGATGGTGTATGCGTGAACTGGTGGTGGGAATTCAAGCAAGCATTGTAGATAGATGATAGATATTATTCTTGAAGCTGATCATTCTAACCACGAGTAAATGAAGCCTACAACTCAGAGTCACTGACTGGGAGTTCTTGCCACCCAACTGGGGTCTTCCAACAGGACTCTTTTAAGTTTCTGGCTGCATCCAGATATGGTGAGTTGACAAGGAACAGAAACTAAACTCCACTCAACCTTTACAAACACTGGTATCGTTAATTAACAATTAACTGCTGCTTGGCTTTTTTTTTTTTTGGCAAAAGAAGAGAGCTGATGTTGTCAATACAGTATCAGGTGGCAAAGATAATGTGCTCCTCCAACCAAGGGAAGAAGCTCACTGGCAAACGTGGTCAATTGGTTACATTTTCCTGTTTTTTTGTTTTGTTTTGTTTTTAATGTTTCAAAGCTGGAAATCAGAAATTTTTTTTAACAGAATTACTTTAAGTTCTTATTAAGGATGTCACCAAAACAGCCATTTACCAGGCACCTACACAGCCTTCTGCTTCCATGTGAAGAAAAAAAAAAACTTGCAAGCAGCACAATGAAATTTTACATTTCCCCCCCCAAGTGTTACAAAACTTGAGGGGGAGGGGAGAAGAGAACAATTCGAGCTATATTCTTAAAATGTGAAATTAAAATGGCAATCTTTAACCAACTGATTACTACATAGTATTTTTATAAGAGACTAATTTTTGGCTATTAAGATTCACAATAGTTTAGAAAACCAGCTAGAGGGCTAAAATTTTGATTCATGATTTTGTGTTGAATATACACAGTAAAAGTACTTGATGTCAAAGAATAGTTTTAGGCTGATTCCTCTTTTATTACATTTAGGTTGAATTAAGTGGGACAGAGGAGACAGTCTAATACAAATGCCAAACCTTCAGAAAAACCCAGATCATTGCCTACATAATTATCGACGACCACTTTAAAAACTAAAGTTCTGATACATTAATGCTTGTTAGGGTTTGCCTGCCACATAGGCAACATTATAAGAAAAACAATTCAAAATTTTGGTTGAAACTCATCCATAGAGAAAAATAGCTTTTCTGCTTGCGACACAACATTTTTAATAGTCTGAGTGAGGCTTGAAAAGCTGCTGTGATGCTAAAGCCACTCAATTTGGGTCACCTCCAGGAAACCATTATCAGTTAACAAAGCCATCTACTTTAACTTGGGCTCATCTAAATAATTTACAAAGCACACATGAGAATATAACAAAAAAAAAAAAAAAAACCAGAGTGAAGATCACCTTCTCCAAAAGTAATCTTTCCAAAGTTGGGGTAGTCCTTTCCCAGGCTTCTCTCTCAAGATCAAATACCATCTTTTTATTTTATTTGCCTGATCAGAGCCATTTCCTAGCTATTCAGACATAAATAAGTCCTGTTACTCATTGCTACTCTGTAAGGCATTTATAATTATGTAAGGTATCTATAATTGTGCAGTCACTTTGAAAGTTTTATTTTTCTACAAAAGAAAAACTACACAAAATGAGCTGAAGTAACAAGATTCATGAGTACACTGCAGTTAGAACCTGACTTTATTGTTACAGCCAATTTTTATTTACAGAATATAAATCTCTTCAAAAAGATACATTCCTTCATTTAATCAATGGTGAAAGGCCTTATTAAACAGAAAATACAGCCTAAACATCACATATTTAAACAGAAATATAAACAGCATCGTTAAATTTATGAACATATAAGCAAAAATGTATTTTTACTTAAGCAGTTACATGAATGAGGCTGTTTTTAATTTTCTTCACTGGCAACCCCATTTTACCCACTAAACAATTTTTACTTAAATTAACAGTAGTAAAAATGTAGAAATTATTTTAAACATGAAAATATGCAACAAAAAAAAAAACAGGAAGTATCTTCATTACCAAACAGATTAACAAGTTCTCAGACACTCAGATACTTTCTGAGGCATATCAAAACACCTACATCAAAGTTGCATTCATTTGAGAGGTATCAATACATTTTCAGTGCTGAGACAATGTGTAGCACTTACAGTATATACAAGAGCAGCATAATACTCTTTCACATTTGATAAACACAAATTTAAGCTTTATGCCACAATTTTCCAATTCAACATACAGTTAACGCAATGACAAATACTCATTTTGCTTTTTTCTTCTGAAACTGAACAACAAAATTGTTTAAGAACATGGAGCAATGCCATGTCTTCTTCCTTATATTAATAATATATTGTGAAATGCAAATACTTCGTATCATAGAAACTTGCCAGCTGTACAAAGGCTCCTAAGTACAGTACAGTTAAAGTTCCCTTTGTGGATTCCACCAATTAATAGTAATTTTAAAGTTAAGTAAAAGGAAATTTCCTCAGATTATTAGACAATTAAAATTTCAGTGTGTCACTACATAAATGGAAGTAACAGAACACCACAATCATGGCAAGTAAATGTTCTGATTTCCTCCAACACTGTTGGGGGTTCTTTTCCAGATCATTACAAGTTTATGTGGATGTCACTGGGTCTCAAAATGTATTTTGAGTTCCTTTATTCAAGTTCCTTTATTAAGAGTTTTGAAATTTAATAGAATAATTTAAATCAGTCAGCTAAGTCCAATCCAGTATGTAATGTTTTGCTATAAATACCTACTAAAAGTTTTGTTACGATGATTAATGATACTATGTCATTAATGGATAAAATGTAAATAAAAATGTCTATGTTTAGGGACTAAGCGTTTTTACAGATCAAGTTTTTCATAACTTGTTATGCTACAGAATTCATAGTGAACACAAATTTTACTTTAACCTGTTATTTGATAACATCAGTAGCATAGTAAGTGCATTCAGTATAGGAAAAAAAGTTTTCAGAACAGAAACCTACCTAAAATCTTGAGTTTAAGATGCAGCAAATACAAAAAGGTATTTTCTATAAGCAATATCATTTTTTTCCCATTCAAGTAGTTGAAATTTTCTGTGCATTTCAAATTATGATCCAGAAATGAAAATTTTTAGGTAAGAACTGTGCTCAGGAAAATCTAATTCATTATGTAATTCCAATTTTCTACTAATGCAAACTCAAGTGTTTTCTTTTAGAGCAACACACTTAACAGACTAAGTTTCAAAGATGGGAAAATTTATTTAAAGTAACTGATACACTTTCCTGTTCAAAGACATCAAACCCAAGACAAAACTAATCACACAAGTGGTATGTTGAGGAAAAAAAATAAAAAGATGGCTCAATATAACATCTTTCTTTTTAAAAAGATTGCCTTAATATGTTAACTAACTTTTCAGAAGCCATCGTAAAATCTCAAGAAAAAATCAAAGCAAATCAATTTTGAAATAAAGCGGCTTTACCACATTCTTGTACTATCCTTTATGTGTAATAATTACAACCACTTGCCTTTTGTGTAAAGTAGTTCAAGTTGCTGCCAATATCAAACTCTCCTCCTAGCATAAAGCACTGTTGACTTTGTCTATCAACTGAATGAGTGATTAATAAAGAGCTTAAGCCTATATCACTTTGGAATGCAATATAAAATGCTTATTAAAAGCAATTTAAAGCAGAAATTCAAACTGACAGTATTCTCATTATGAAAGAATTAAAAACGGTACAGCAGGTTCTGTGTAATGTAAAAAAAGTCTATAATTGTAAAAGTGGAGGTATTTAATGAGTTGAATGTTTCAGGGAGAACTTTTTTCTTTAAATTTGAAAGCTTTAACATTTATGAAGTTAAAGTAAATATTTTTAATTCCGTAAAAATGGAAATACCAGTCATTAAAAGATTACTTATGCTTTTTGTCTTTTTACAATCCCATAGTGAACAACATTAGAGAAACCAACTGAGATATGCTGAAGCATATCTAAGTATAAGCTAAAAGCTATTACTTTTCATATTTTTTGTGAATATGAGACTTAGATTCACATTGAGATTTATAAAATTCCAAGGATTATTTTATAGAAAATGGTTTAACAACCTTGAAAACAGCAAATAATAATATTTCAGAAGTTTATGATCATTGTATTTCTCATCTGCTTTAGCTGGGAACAATGACTGAAGAAACAGAGCTCTAACAGTGTATTAATTTACTGCTTGCAGGAAGTAACTTCAAAAAACTAATGACCAACTAAAGAATGAAGAAAAGTCATATTAGGCACTGAGAGGCTAAATAAATAAGTAGTGACATTAACAAAACCAGATAAGCCCTATTTCCAGTTCCTCTTGTTATCCCACTGTGCAGCCAGGTATGTTGGCTATTTCCAGTCTAAAACCAAAGGGCTGGATCAGGTTATTACCAAAAAAGTTCTACAAAAGGGAACATAATGCAAAACAAAACACGATCTCATATGCAAGATACAATTCACACTAATTACAAATTTTTATTTACACTACTTTATATACATTCCAGGCAGACCTAGTTGATGAGTTTTGTGCTCATAATGATCTCAAATGATCATGTGAACAATATAAATTACTACCACATCTCTTTGATTTCCAGAAAATGGTGATAGCGTGGGATAAGAGGGGGATTAAGTCAAATTACTGGCAGGTAAGATCATAGAAGTAGTAAGGAATAGTGAGAAAAAAAGTTGTGGGATTTTGCTTGTTAAAGCATCCAGGCCACTATGGTCTATTGACTAACAGTGAGCACACATGAATGCCACTTCTTTGACAACCATTTTTATATTTACAAAGTGAGTTCCAACCAGCTGAGTTATTAGGTAAGGCATTCAAGTTCCTTAGCTTAACATAAAAAGGAGACAGACAGCAAGCCACAGCACAATTTTAGAGGGATGTTTTTCCTTCAGAATTCCTTAAATGGTCAATTAAAAGGAAACAACTTTGAATCCTAATGGCTTGCAGCATGATCCCAAAACCTGCACAGCCTCCAACTTCTAGCCAAAGAGTGGGAGAAATATCTTAAATTTCTTATTTTGTTCCCAAGATCTACTGCACACTCCTAGGGCTACACAGAAAGCTTTTATTCCCTTTCACACGCCCCTCTACCTGAATCTTTCTAATCTCTCTGGAACGCTTACAATAGTATCACAGCTAGCAGCAAGCAGTCTACCAGCAATGGCTCAGTGAATTGCTATTCAAAATAGTTGAAAGAATATGGAGTAAAGTAGAAAAATGATCTTTTCTCCTCTAGTTCTCCAGGACATATACTGTTTCACTTTAGAAGTCAGAAAGCCCCCCCCCCCCAAAAAAAAAAAAAAAAGGAAAACGAATACTACATTTCTTCATCACTCTAAGAAAATTTCCCAACCACAGACAAAAATTCCACTAAGAACAGTTTTTCAAGTTCACGCTAACACTATATAAAAGTTATAATTGTTTAATTGGTTCCATTCAGTTAGGCAATAATGTAAAACCCTACCGCTCTACAGTACTATGGTTTATAAAGACAGAAGTGAGCATCTGTAACACTGGGGAGGTAGAACACAAATCCCAGTCTTAGCCTAACACTTACAGATACAGACAAATTTTAATATTCTATTTATGTAACTAGAATTTACCATTTAAAATGGCCTTTAAGTGTTTCTACCTACTTTATTAGCTTTAAACATCTTGATATAATCCAAGTATTTTAAAGCACTTATTTGAGAATTATTAAGTCATTTGGAATAATACATCAGGCTCCCAGAAAGTTTCAGAGGATAAATTTGTAGTTGCATATTCAGAATATGCAGATCCATTAAGCCAACTTTGTACGTGGGCACTTATGTGACCAAAGTGCAAAGCTTGTCAGACTAATTTTCTAAGTTAACCATGACTGCTCAGGTCCACACAGCAGTCTTCAAAATTTGAAGCCTACTTATCTATCCCAAAGATCTAAACTCCCTTCCATATAATTGCCACACTCTCACACCTAAATAAAATTAGAATTCAAGGTAAAGCAAAATCAAGAGAAATCAAAACAGAAGCTCTCCTACCATGAGTATTTCTGCTTAATTCACATTTTTTACATCAAATTTTAAATGTACAAGATCAATGCCCTACATGTTCCTTATTTCTTTTAACCACATCAACATATTTATCTGAAACTACGTGTCAAGTAATCAGCTGATACCATTCTAAAGATATGGAACCTAACTAAAGCATGAAACCAAAATGAAAGGAATGAATCTGGAGAGGTCAAGAATTCGTCTAAATGACATTCTCTTGTTCCCAAGTATCATAAACACCTTTGCTTCAAAACCTAACAATATATCTACTAGCTACCACTTAATACCAAGTGAAACATGGAAAATCTCAATAAACAAAACAAAATTTTTAGTTAGGAACAATCTGATGTCATGAAAATTTAAAATCAAGCTAGTAACTTAAATGACCATATTTAGTATATGAAAACATTATTTAATGCAACTGTTGGTAACATAAAATCATATCTATTCGAGGATTATATGGTAAATATTAATATTTATATACCAGACTATGTAGGGAGGGGGATTTTAATTCTAAGATATATTCCCTAAAAAGAAACTTTTCAATACTCAGTTCAAAAAGATGTACCACTAGCATAAATGGTGAATGTATTTCACCCTCCTAAACAGGTATTTTTCTATGAACATCCTAAGTTATCTATACCAGTGCCTGGCATTTCAAGAGTAAATGATTCATTTTACTTACAGTGCATGAAAATAAAAAGGTTACACTGTATCTAGAATTTACTAAAATTATTCTTATTAAAGTGGAACAAACTTTCTCTGCAACATTCTCATTGTTTACACTCAACAAACTGATGAAACAGATGAATCATTCACCACAAGAACATGTTAAATTTATAATAAATAATTCACATATAACAGATTAAATTATCAAAGAAACAATTAAACTGACATCCTTATACCTTTTTGTAGATTTAACAAATTTCTAATCCACCACATACTGATAGCAGTAGGTATATTCTTGACATCATTCAGTCTATTTAAAAAATAGATTGTGTAGAGGCATAATTCGTAAAGCAAGATAACCAAATTAAGTAACAGAATTTTAACAAATATTGGCTTTTTGGATTTCTTAAGAAAAGATTTACAAGCATTGTTCAGCTACTTGAGAATAATTAAATCTCTTCTTTACTCAGGCACTTTTAATGCAGTAACCTCAGGCTTCATTTTAAAGTATTGGTTAAAACGGACAATTGCATACCTAGTGAGAAAGAGAATAACAAAAGAATTAGTCAAAGCTAAAACACTTAATCCTATTTCCACTCACCACCTAAGATGAATTTTTTACATTTTATGGTTTCAAAGGGCATATTTTTAGTTTATTGCACCACCTACTGGACAATTTTCTAACACTTACGAGCATTTAAAAGATTATGCCAAGTTTCTTCACAGACCAATTAGTAAATGTATGCAATTTTTGTAATATTTGACTGAAAATAATAACTTCAATGTCCCCTATGAGTTATAAATCTTAATCCAAAGAAAGTAAAGACAGACATAACAAGGTAAAATTATACTTACCCAAGGAAATCAAAATCAATAGTGGAGTATTTGGCTTGAATCAAAGCCCACAATCCCCAAAAGAAATGAGAAGCCTAAGAAAGGAAGAAAAAACAAGAATTATGATTAACACTTTTTTTTTTTAAAGATTTATTTATTCGTACAGAACTGGGGTACAGGCCAGAGTTGCGGAGGGTGAGAAGATTCACCAGAGACAGAGTGGGGAGCAGAACAGGCAGATGGACGAAGTACACTGCTAAGGAGAGCAGCGGGCGGGTCAGGAGAGGTCTGCCGCACCATGTGGTCGCCGATCGAACTCATGCGGAAGTGGCTTCAGTTTCTCAGTGCAGTGCTCTAACCCGCTGCCCAGGGAGGGCCCGATTAACACTTTTTTTTTTAAAGATTTATTTATTTACGCATACAGAACTGGGGTACAGGCCAGAGGTGTAGAGGCAGTAAGAGGATTCCCAAGAGACAGAATAGGAGCAGAACAGGCCAACTGACCTAGTACACTGCTTAGGGGAGCAGTGGGCAGGTGAGGAGAGGCCAGTTGTGCCTTGTGATCACCCCTGGGGCCTGGAATTGAACTTGCAATGAAAGGCTGTGGCTAGCTTGCAGTGCAGTGCTGCACCCTGATAACGCATTTATTTTTAAAATAAATATCAAATTGTACATATTTTTTCCCTTTTCATTAACTCCATACACTATATTTGGATGCTTTTTTTTTTTAAGATTTATTTATTTATTCATATAGAACTGGGGTACAGGCCAGAAATGCGGAGGGTGAGAGGATTCACCAGAGACAGAGCGGGGAGCAGAACAGGCAGATCTACGAAGTACACTGCAGCGGGCAGGTCAGGAGAGGTCTGCCGCGCCATGTGGTCACCTCCGGGGCAGGCGGGAATCGAACTCATACAGAAGTGGCTTAAGCTTCTTAGTGCTGTGCTTTAACCCGCTGCGCCACAAAGGAGGGCCCCTTGGATACTTTCTTAATAAAAAATATCTGAAGAGGGCCTCCCTGTGGTGCAGGAGTTAAAGTCTCAGTGCTATCAAGCTATTGCCAGCCTCTAGGGCTTGAGTTTGATTCCAGCCAGCAAGCTGACCATATCCAGCAGCAGACCTCTCCTGTGTCCTTGACTGCTATTCCCCTCAGCAGTGTATTCAGTAGATACACCTGTTCTGCTCTCCACTCTGTCTCTGGTGAATCCTCTCACGTCCCAACCCCCCACACCTCTGGCCTATACCCCAGTTTTTGTACGCATAAATAATAAAATAAATCTTAAAAATAGATATATCTGAAAAGTCACGTGCACTTAATGTAAGTGAAATTAGTTATTATCTAAATATGACCACAGATCACACCAAAAGAATTAATAAATGCTAACTGCTTTATAAAGTAGAGCAATTCCTGAAACCTGTTTTGTGTAGGCAGAGTTCAGCATCAACACTGATAAATGTTGATTGTTATATTTTGAATAATTATAATTGCTAACAAGCTTTCCCACACATTATCAACATCCTGTTTCTTAGTGCAAAAATATAGACAAAAAGGAAAATCCAAATCTTAATAAAGGTAAAGAATGCTCTAGCAGTGACAAATCTCTGAAAACAATTTTTATGGAGCCAATGCTGTAACAGGACTTTCTTATATAAAGGAAAATGGGTCTTAAGACTTGAAGAGAGAAAGATGTATATATATAATTAGGAGCTGTAAAAGAACTGTATGTCTGCACATTATAATTTATTTTCAGTTACACATGATAATGTTTTGAGATATGAATACATTAATAAAACTTTATTTCCCAAGCAATACTATAACTAGAAATGTTATATCTAGGAAAAATATCTTTGAGGTAAGGTTTTTGGTTGTGGTGAACTCACTACAGTGACAACAATCTGTAGGTCTTTGGGTATTTAAAAGAAAAATTGCAAGTAAACCACAATAGTGTACTGAATTAGGAGTTTTGGGAGTTCAATTCTGGGCTACGCCACTAAATCCCGTTATATCTTTTAATAATTAACATATTTTTTGTGTTAAAAGATAAGAGACTATTCACTAGTGCACCTTGATAATATATGTATGTACTGTCTTCTTCATACAAGTGATCAATGAAGTTCCACAAAAAAAAACCCTGTATTTAAGACATATGCACAAGAGGAGGAACTACCAGAGGATGTGGAGAAAAAGGTGCTACTAGGCATAACGGAGTAACCTCTGCAAAACAGACTTGACACGTGGAGCGCACAGAAAGCACTGCGATCTGCTGGATTTGAAGTGAGGAGTAAGACAGAATTTATACTGTCATTTGCATTTCATTCTGTAGGTCACAGGGAGCCATAAAGTAAGAAAGTGACACAATCAGATCCATGAATTAGATTCTAGTTATCACAAAGATCATTTTTAAAATGTATGGTATGAACTAAAGACTAAAAATTTGGCAGCAGAGACCACAAAAGGTAAGAGATTAAGGCCTTAACATAAGAATCATAAAATTAAGGAGAAGAGGTTGGAATCAAAAAATTTTAGGAGCCAGGAGTTAAGAGAATTTAAAAATAGGAAATAAACATGAGAATGAAGAGGAACACAGGAAATTCTGGTTTCAAAATACGCCAACAGATTTTTTAATTAAGTTAATACAACAGGATAAAGAATAAATTATGTGATAGCTGGCAGGATGCACAAAATAAAATTCAAGCTTGGACATAATGTGATCAAAAACTGTTAGGACAGAATGGACTAATGAGTCAGAATGGATCTGGAGCTCAAAACAGGAGAAATTCAACTTGAAGTCATTAACAGAAAAATGCCAGGTAAACTGGTTAGATTTAAAAAAACAAAACAAAACTATAAAACATCTTAAAAAGATGGTACATCAAAAGGAGTGTTGATAATCTTAGTAACTAGGACTCAGTGAGCCATGTATGAGAATTCAGCTAAGTTTACTACATCCTTACTTCCGAAGACAACAATAACTGCTGATGTAAGAAAGTAACCTATACCTCAGAAGAAAAAGGACAAACACAAACAGCATGAACAGAATTAAATAAAAGGAATTCAAGTCCAAGCTAGTTTGATGTAAATAGTTTCTGATGGAATAGTATCAGAATCTTAAAAGTATGAAAAATTATCATTTAGACATAATTCAAAAATGAATTTGCAAATTCTGAGGGACATACCTAAGTGAGGAAAAAGTTACCTCAAGTTTTATGTTTATGCTTCTTCTGTAAGGCCTTTTACTCAATGTATGCCATCAGATAAATTCCTTTTTAATTAAGTTAAATATCTTTTAGAGATCAGGTTAATAAATTCTCCCCTATTTCTAATTTGATAGAAAAATTAAATAGGACAGGTGTTGAATTTCATTACAAATTTATTTTGTACACTTTATTTGCACTCCTAAACTGTTAAGTACTCCGAAGGAATGCACTTTGTCACCACCATGTACATATCCCACAACAAAGGTGTTAAACAACAAAAATTTACGAGAGCTCAAGTTAGCTCTTAAAGAGTAAATAATGGGATTGTGGACTAAGAATTTATAAGCTATGTGGGCATTATGTAGAAACTAATCAATTCAATCCTTGAAAATAATTTAACTTCTTAAATGAGTATATGGAAAAGCCACAAATTAGAACCACCATAATATTCCTCACATAAAAGCAGGCGTTGGCTAAAGAGAAGCAGTAGGTTGATTCTGAACTTTATTAATGACCTCATGGGGGAAAAATACCTACATTCTCTGCTTAAAGATTATGCTTAAGAATAAATAGAAACAGCAGGCATCCTAGGATCAGCTGGAGAGCATGCCACTAAAATAACCAACAGCTATACTGAAAATAGGTATCAGAACAGCAGGTAAAGTCACATTTTAGCATACCCTCCTACCTGAGGTGTTCTGAATGGCTCTGGGAAAATAATGCTCTTAAGACTATGGAAAAAGCGGCCCCCCTCCTTGATGGCACACAGATTAAAGCACAGTGCTGTGAAGCTAGCCACAGCAGCTTTAGCACGGATCCCCATCCCCATCAGGGGAGGTGACCCACAACAAATAGCAGACTTCTCCTGTCTCACCCGCTGTTCCCCTCAGCAGTGCACTTCATGGATCTGCCTGTTCTGCTCCCCACTCTGTCTCTGGTGAAGCCTCTCATGGCACCTGAACCTCTGGCCTGTACCCCAATTCTGTATGCATGAAGAAACAAATCTTAAACAAAAAAAAAGACTCTGGAAAAAGTATAGCCACAAGTTACAAATAGAGTCTGTCTGTAAGGACTGTATAGCAAATATTAACCCTGTCTACTGTACAGAATCATAGAATTAAAATTAAAAAGAAATAAAGTAATTTCAACATTGCACTCATACTTAGCTAAAAGCTTATTCTTAAGAAGCTCAATGAATTTTAAGAACTTAATAAACCTAGAGTAAGGAGTAGATCTTAAAAATAATATTAATGAAGTACTGAAAGGTAAGACACACTGAAAATAACTATCAAAAGAAGGTTAAAAAGACAAAATACTGGGCCTCCCTGGTGGTGCAAGAGGCTAATTCTCAGAATTATGAAGCAATCAGCAGCCACTGCAAAGTAAGTTCGATCCCAGGCCAGGGAACTAACCCACGTGTCCAGGTAAGACCTCTCCTGTCTCACCTGCTGCTCCCCCACCTGTGCTGCTCCCTACTCTTATATGCATAAATAAACAAATCTTTAAAAAGAAAACAAAAAAGACAAAATACTGTGTGGTCATGAAAACATAATTCTAGTGATTCTTTCGATGTATTTTTATCAGGCTAACATTAAGATTTGGTGATTAAGTCTTGTGGAAAATCTCATTTCCAGTAAATCTATCCTTTATTATGTTTTTCTTAATGTAAAGACAACAGATACTAAAAACAACTGCCTCACAAAATGATCCTAACTTGAATTAGAATCCATTCATTAAATAGTTACTGAACACCCACCATGTGTTCATCACTATTGTGGAGACTAGGGGTGGAATAGGCAATGAAGCAAAATCTTTGTACACAAAAGTACTATAAGAGGGGAATTATAAATAATCATCTTCTTTCATTAGCTTAAAAAATTCACAAAATTCAAAAAGGGAAACTTTTAAAAGATGATGAAAATTTGGAAACTTTTAAAATTAAAGATTTACTACAAACTTACCAATGCAAACTGGTTGACTTGAATGAAGAGTACCTCTACCTCCTTTTCAGAAACTTCAGTCCCAAAGCCCTTATATTCTTTGTAAGCTTCAAGGTAAGAACGCAGCCACTGACCCTGGAGCTCTCTATCTGGATAGAGACTGTAGTCTACATCACTCACACCTAAATGGGAAAAATGCAGACTTTACCACAGCTTAACACCACCTACTATGTTTTGGCTGAAATACTGGTTAAGTAAATGACATTTATTAAACTAATAAAACAATCATAATGTATTCCAACTTAAAAACTACTCTAAAGTACTACTAATCACCATAATCAATTCTCATTGCTTCAACTAAAATGTGAAGCTTGAGCCATCACCCTCAGAAGTTTCAAATCTTCCTTTTAACAAGCATCCAGGTGTTTGACAAGCTAGGTAGAGAGCATTTCTTAGAACTGTGGCTCTAAAGTTTTTCTGATACTATTCAATGACAAGCAGTTTATTTTAAAGCAGTGTATTTTATATATAAATCTCACACACACAATTGACACTAAATTTCACAAAGCAATCTTTATCCTCACTACACCTTTCAATTCTGGTATTTTCTTTATTTGCCATTCCTTGCTTTAAAACAATTCCCCAATAAACTTGACTTAATGATCTGCAGCTTGAAAACTCTTATACCCAAAGTATAAAGTTCATACTCTTTTGCCTACCACTCAGGGTTCTTCAAAAGTTGATCAAGCCTATGCCGCTGGTGTTAAAACCTCTGTCTTACATAAATTTTATACCCTATAAAAAGAAGTATACTCACCTTGAAGTGTTCTTACCCCTTCCTGCAATGCCCTTCCTTCTCTTCAATCAATCTGCACATCTAAATTCTACCTAACTTTCAAGTTTTAGCTCAATTTTTTTCTCCACAAAATCAAATTAGATCACTGGCGCTTCTTCCTCTTTCACACTCAAAGCAGTAACCATCCAGATTATTAATAAAGTAATACTCATTATATGTTTAGCTGCTTTCCCTTGCTAGAAATATGTGAGAAGCTGTGCAGCACATATACGGGGACATGGTATGTATATGATAAATTTGGGTAAAGGCAAATAACTGGAAATACATAAATTAAAAATTTTCTGACTTCCCCCCCATCTGGTAATCACAGAGTGTATACAAATACAAATTCAGCAATGAAAAATTCCTATCAGATATAAATCATCCAGGAGAATTTCCTAATCTTTAGGGCATTTCATGTTTCTAAATATAATCAAGACATATTTTTGCTTTAATTCTGCTTACATTAAATCAAACTAAAACATTCATAATTGATATTAGATTCATTTTCAAGGACAAAAATAACCAGCTTTTATTATTATTTGGCTAATTATAATAATTTGGCTAATTATTAATAGCCAAAGGGAGAATAGGGGAATCTTAAGTTTATTTAATTTAACTCAAAGCCCAAGTTATGCAATGGAAACGCAAAAGCTTTTAAATAACAACAGTTTCAAAGCTTAGTTCTCTGTAGTCTTCTGGGTCCTCTGTGAGCTACTTACCTCCCCTGCAAAGTGGAAATATGACCTAATTTACATTGTAGTTACAGGGGAAAATATGAAGCAAAATTTATAAGGCATCTAGTACTATGTCAAGGTCGTAAAAGAAACTATAATCATTATTCCTCTCTTATTCTCCTTAAGAAAATTAAGAATGAAGTCACCTCCTCTTCTCCCTACAGAACTTTTTTTTAAAAACCTTGGTCTTCTTTACAGAAAAAAAAGCTATTCTAAAGGTATTTCAGTCATATATGTTATTCCGCCTCTAGGTTTTACCTGCAAATTCATTGAAATGATTTCCAATATCATATGCCAGGTAGTTGTAGCCAGAATATTCATAATCAATGAACTGTACATCACCTATGTGAGACACAAAAACAAAGACATAAGAAATCATATATAAGAGTAGAAAATCCCTATGCTATTTGTAATTAAATAGCTTCCAATATTTCGTCTCATTGTACGTGCTTGGTTACATGCACTTCTGAGACAATGCAGGGTAAGGCTGTGAATTTTATGGCAATGAGCTTTACAAAATTCAAATTATTTATCTTGGTCAACAGCTTCTTTGTGAACACTAATGTCAACTATATTAGACAAAAGTCAAAAAAATAGTCATTCTCCAACTTCAAACAAAAATAAAATGTTTTTCACCACATGGGGGCATCAGTTACTTAAAAATTCAAGCTTAATTAGAAATGAAAACTCACCCTTGTAAATTGTTAACAATCTAAGCAACTTTAACAAAAAAATTAATTTGTGATATTCCAACAAAAAACTGATAAACTAATCTACATATGGAAATCAAATGCAAACTTTGAAAGCCTTTAATTTTGTAAACTTTACAGTTACCTATAACAATATCTGCCGATCAATTTAATAAAACCCTTAAGAGTCTATACTTCCCTGGCATACTACACAACTAAAGTTTCTAACAGCAGACCTAAGCAGCGCATGGGTGGTGGTTTTATCTTTAAAGAGATTTAATTTTTTAAATCTCTTTAATTTTTTTATATAAGCTATTCTAAATTACTGTTCAATATATATGCATATTTCAGTACAATTATCTGAAGATAATGCTGTTCAAGGGACATGCTACTGTTAGGAACTCTTCATTTTTGAGTACTGAGTATTACAGTGCATTTGGATCCACAGAGACAGAGCTCCTATTTCTTTAAAAAGAGACAAGAGAAAGAAAGATGAAACAGTTAGAAATGTTTTTTAAAATTTTTAAGTGGGTCACTGTCAACACCAGGGATCACAAACTCAAAGGCTTACAGAGGCAAGCATAAAATGGATACAGAGCAGAGATGGCTGCAAGAATAGCTTCTAAGCTGCCTATATTGAGAAAATGCATCATAGCATATGCTTAATTACATCATGTTTTAAACATGAAGCTGAGATGAAAAAAAAACAAACTCCTGGCCTATACACATGGCATTTCCCAAATAAAAAAGCTTTTGGACTATAAAGTCTTGATATAGATTACATGTTTAATTTGGGGATGGATATAAGTCATATTCAAACTCAGGAAAAAATGCAATTATGTAACAAGTGTGATGATGTGATGGTAAATGGAGTATTTTACATAAAAACAAAAAAACTTTAAATGTACTTTCACTTAAAAGTTATTCTAAACTCTTATAAAAATACTCAAGTCTAGAGTAAAATGAAAATCATCAAAACCCAGTTATCAACCTTTATGCATGCTGATATAATAATAAATGTAAGGTTTTTACAGTATTGCTGACTATAATAAATCACAATTCAACCACCACACCACAAGTATCATATGCTTAAATTCACAAAAATCTATCCCACAGAAAGTCTAAAGTTAACCCCAAATCACATTAGTGAGCTGTAGAGTGGGAGACAAGACATAGTTTAACAAATTACTTTATTAAAGTGCAGAATGGGAAGTCAGAACATGTTTTAAATAAAATATTTTTTCTAGGTACTATTCCAAATGAAGGTGAAGACCACCTCATGACAAAATACTTTGCAGTCATGAAAACAAGATTTCATTCCCAAATAGTATTTAATGACTAGGGAAATTATGTTATATGAAAAAAGACACAAAATAATAAATGTAGTGATCCAATTTAGCATATTCTCAGAGGGTGAAAATATATATATATACACACACATATATAATATATGGGGAAGGGAGAAAAGATGAATAGAAATAAACTAAAAATGTTTCAACTGGTTTCATTACAGGTGATAGACAAGTGCCCTTTTTGCCTTATATTTTTCTATAAGGAATATAGCCTTATATTTTAAAAATTCTTTACAATACGAATTACTTTTAGGAGGAGAAAAGATAGTTTTAAAAGATCAAGATGTCTCAAAATACAACTGTCAAGAAATAAGAGACTAATAATAAGCATGATAATGTGGGATACAGCTATTCACCTGTCCTTTAAGAATTCAGGATTCAAGACGACTTACCAAACTGCACAACTGAGCCAACCAAATAACTTTATTATTTGAAAAATTGTAGCTGTTGATTGCTATAGCTCTTTAAGCACAAATTCTTGTAGAGCTCATATTAACTGTTACATGCCAATAAAAATACACAGCCCAGTCCTGAAGTGTACTTTTGCCACATAAACAAAAGTTTCAATTCCAGTTTTCAAAATTATATTTAGAATTTGGCAAATATAGTTAAAATGGCAGGTAAAACATGCCTGCTTGCATAATAAATACAATTTAAATAAAGCATAGGTTATTTTAACAAAAGTTAAAATCTGTTTCAGTATAAAAATTTTAGCAAGGCTTTTGTAGTAGCATTAATTCATTAAAACTAGCCTTTATCTTTAAATGCTATGTTGAGTTTATAAATAATGAAATTTAAAAAAAAAAAAAAACAAGAAAATGAAGCTAACAAGATACAGATGAGGCTGTTACCAGGCTCCGTGCATGTGAACAAGTGATGCGATAAACCTCCAGTCAGTGCGTTTAAGAAGCACGGGGTGCGCCGCCACATGGCAGCAACAATGGCATACCTAATCTGTAGCAGATGAAGAAAATTTGGCAAACTCACATTTTACAAGACACAAAGCTTAAAAGGAAAAAATTAAAAAAAAATCTGCATTAACTATTCTTTGTCAAACTATTGCAAACAAAGTGGAACTCAACCTTAAATTTAATCTTCTGCAACAAAGTATAATTAGAGGCCTACTCTTAATCAGGTGCCAGAAAAATCAAATTACTGCAATTGTTTTCCTACAAACAGAAAGTATATGGACCTTCTTTATTTCTAATTGACCTTCTGATTTCTAAAATTCACATTTGGAGGGACGACCACATTACCTGCTATTAATAATAGTTCACATAAACATCACTATCTCGTTAATTCTTTCAGACATGAGTTTCTAACTAGGGTTTCATAAGTTGAAAGATAGTGAGAATACTTCCTAAAATTTCCTAAGTAAAGTACTCTTAATTTCTCAGATCCTCAGGGGATCACTGACCTCTGAAAAGTAGAAGAAACACTGCTTTAAGAGCTAAGACTCTATATTATTAATCTTTACGTAATTAGCACACTGACATATGGCTAAATCATAAAATTAATGAATAAGACTATAACTTGAATTTTCAAAAGCTAATTTTTATTACTATATTTCTTGCATACCTTCACAACAATGAAATCCACATTTCATTGACTTAAAAAATTATTCAAATCTGAGCTGAAAATAGTCTTTGAATTAAGTATTTTATTAATAATTTTTTATTATTGTTTTACTGTAACTAAGGCTATACAATTTACATGACACTTTTGTTTGGATTCCTTTATTTTGTTGTTGTTGAGAAAGGGATAAAAAATTAAAAAGCAATATAACCAGTAGGAGAACCTATATATCTCTCCAATTCACTCTGCTGGTTTTGTAGTGTTAAGGCAGAAAGAACAGGCAGAAAATGTATCCATGACTACACTAATGTTAGCAAATGCTTTCTCTTATTTAGAAAAAAATTTTGCTCTGTTCATCCTTCTCTCAGCATCCACCTTCACCACAGTACTCATCATTCTAGGCAAACATCTAATTGGAAATCTTTCTCCTCCACTATATGGCATATGGCTTTCTAGAGAGGTAAGAGGTCCCTTTATCTCTCATCATGTAGTCCACAGAGAAATCCCTGCCATAGAACAAGTCTTCAAATGCTGGCAGAATAAATGGAGTTTCTGTGGACACACAATGATAACACATACGTTTGGCGTGGGAGGGGGCATGAAATGCTTAAGAAAAAAGTGGCATTTCTGACATTCATATCCACAAATATGAACACAGAGTAGGACTTAATGCATGAATTAAAAACAAACAAACAAAAAAACACTATTTTAAGTAACTCTTCCTAGCAATTTAGGTTTTTACAGTACAATTTAAGAGTTAGTTAAGAGTTTATTAACTAACTCAGAGATATTTTTTAGATTATCCTTCATGCTAACACCCTGGAAAATACAAGTTACCAAATACAAAAACTTGTATTTTCTTACATTTTAAAGAAAAACCAAAGACTCTTAAATAATGAAAATATCAGTAAAACCACATTTTCAATAATGTCTTTTCATGAATAACAGAGTGGGTAAAACTTAAAGCCAATTAAATTTGAATTCCCAGAAAAAACATTCTTAAAAACCACTCACATATATTTTCCTAATCAGTTCTTGAATTATGCTGACAGAAAATGTATTACTGAAATTTAATATTATATCTTAGATCTCTATATGAAACTTCATGAAGAAATGGGGGCAAGGAAAAGAAACAAAACAGTCACTAATAAACATTCTGACAGCATCAAGACATAAGACAACAAACTCAAAGCTTTAGCAATTACTTCTATTATATAAGCAGTCAAAGAATTAGTTGAAATTAAAATACTAAATTTGAAGTCAGTCAGTAAGCAGTAATACAATTTGTTCTACTTAGTATATATTCTTTATTAATTATTAAAAGATGATTGGTAAGTCTTATCTTACAGTTCTGGAACAAAAGCATATCTTTGGTTTCCTTATTATGTAATAAATTCTATCACATTATTTAACATTCTTTTCTTACCTTTTTAAGATGTCATTTCACTGAAGGCAAGGAATGGGCCACTCTTTACCAACCACCTAATTCCTGGCACTGACTAACTTTTCAAAAATCTTGACAGCTACCATCAACTTCAGAAAGGAAGTTCACTCTTCTGCCATATTCCTGAGTCCTGTCAATTGACATGGTGAGAACAGGTAGAAGCAGTATTTCTTCCTGCAATGCCTACCAGTTCATGTAGCTGTCACAGGTGAAAATGCCTGTAACCTACAGGGAATTCATAATCTTCGTGTGTGTGTGTGTGTGTGTGTGCGCGTGCGCATATATATATGCATATGTGTATATATATATATATGCGCACACACACGTAATCCATACACACATATACATCAATACATTTTTAAACTTCAAGAGTATGTTAAGCTGCATTTAAATACACACTGAACTGCTATAACTATGAACCATGATTTTTCTAGTTATAGGACACTTCTAACAATTACCCTCTGAATTAGGTAACTGGAAAAAAATGCATCCTATACACATAACACAGGTGTTGGCAAACCATGTAACCTCAGGACAAATCCAGCCTATTGTCTGCTTTTATAAATAAAGTTTTAATAGAATACACATACATTAATTTATAAATTACCTGTGGCTGTGTTTATGCTACAACAAAGTGTTGAATATTTACAATAGGGAATATATATGTGATAGAGTCTTTAATATGACCATCAAGTCCCTTAGAGAAAAAGTTTGCCAATCCCTATCATGGTATAATAGGTGCAATTATAAACTGCTAAGTTCCTAGTCCTGTACACTTTAAATGCATTGTTTAAATTCTTGTTAGGACAATCTTAAGTAGATATTACCTGTCAGTTACAAATAAAGCAAACTAAAGTTCTACATTATCAACAATATAAATCTGTTAAACATACAGATTCCTAAACTCACTGAGAAAAATTCTTGCTCACTTGGTCTTGCATGGGACCATGAACTTGCCTTCCACCCTGCCACCAGAATCCTAGACGATTATTGCGCTAATAGTCAAGATGCTAAAATAAACAATTTAATACAGAGATAAAATGGCCTGTCTAACACCACTTAACTTCCATATGTGATTAAGTGGGGATCTGAACCCAGAAACTATGCTCTGACTTCTCTGTTTGTAAACAGACTTCAGTATATATGCTTTCAAGAGTTAAAGATGTTTAATATAGTTACGATATATAAAATCTAAGTTACTGTGGTTGAAAATCACATGTGGAGACCTCAAGATGATCCAGTATATACACACTGTCATAAACTTTAAATCTGAACTTCTGAGAAATTACAAATCTGACATGTATACTGGAGATATTAAGCTTGATGGTGTCAAAGCCGTATCATAGTTTTATAGATTTATATCTCATAGATTGCTATAAAAAGGTGAAACCCTGAAATCAAATCACAAGAATAACTTAAAAAGTAGTAAAAGTCAAACATTTGTGTATATAATATGAAACTTAATCATATTTATATGCAAAAATTATTTTAATTCCCCAAGATATAACTTGGCTTTTAGATGCTATTAACAAGGTAACTAACCAGTTAAGAAGGTAAAGGACTCTGCAGTCCATATTTCTAATGTGAATTATCCTTCTCAAGATTGTTACCATTAGTAAAGTACTAATGTCAGTTTCAAACATACTATGTTTTGCTTGCTAAATTTATAGAATTTTTTTTAAGTAGGAGACACAGTATCTTTTTCATATAAAAAAAAGACAAGTCTGTCATATAGTTATATATATTTCTTGAAAACCATTAACTCCTTTAATTTAAAATAGAATGGGCGAATAATCAACAGAACAACTTTCGTGGGTTTTAGATTTTTTACAAACAGCATTCTAACCACATTTCTTCATGCTTATATATCAACTCAATCACATAAGAGGTCACTTTTAATAGATGTCACAGGGTTCAAACTAGAAGCCCTAAAGTACACAATAAAACCACTGTTTAGGGAAAACAAAAAGAGAACATCACTATAACACATAAACATAACCACAAAGACAAGAAAAGAACAAATGGTACATAATAGATTTTATGAAAGAGGGCAAACCTTAAAAAAAGAATCAAAATAATTACATAACTGAAATTTGTTCTTCTGTATAGGAAAGAAAAATATGATATGAAAGTATGACTGAAGTAACATTTGATAAACCAAACTAAAGACAACCTTGAACTCTTAAAGCCAAATTGAAGCATAATGATTTTATTTGAAAATATGAAGTTTTCATATCACTGATTAATTTTAGATAAAAAAGTAAAAATATATTTCTTTTTAATACCTAAAACAAAGTAATCTGATTTTTTTGGTCCCTTTTGAGTTTTATAAACAAGTTTGTTCTGTGAAATGAATATGCAAAAAAAACTTAGAAAATAAAAATATGGAAATTAAAATTATATTTCAAAGGAAACAACAGATTCTCTTTGATTAACTTGCAGTTAAAAATAAAGCTGAGTGTCCACTTCAAACGTAAGATGAAGCCCCTCACTTGAAATTCTATTATATAAATGTTTTATCAGGTATTGCACTGAAAATATTATTAAAAGCTAATGCATCGCTTTAGTGCATAACTAATACTCTTGTCTCAGAAATGGCATTGAGATTTGGTTACTAGTATATAATAAAGTATATATAAATATATATAGTGATAATTATACACAACAGAAAAATAAAAAATGAAAGGACACTGTCAAGTATTAATTTTTTAAAATGATTCCAAGATTTAAGACATTCAAAAAAAAGGCATACCATTATATTTTTTAAAAATAAAATCTCTTATCCACATTAAGCTATCAAATGTAAAAGGTACTCAAATGTGTTTTGAATGTTTCATTCTACCACTCTTGACAGTGTTCTTTGTTTTGTTTTCAAGTTAAGGTAGTTACAAATATCAACAACATTTGCACTAGTATAGTCACAACTTAAAATCAAAGAAGGATCATAAATGATATAATTATAGTCAATTAATTAGAATTCTTTGCTTTTAGTATCTTCACAACAGCACACTTTCATAACTCAAAACCTTCCAACTATAATTAATCACTGGTTTCCTATAAAATGCAATACTTTCATAGTTTCAAACAGACTTTTGAATTAATGCTAATCCTTCAGCCAAAATTATAGTTTCAAATTTAAATTTAGTACTGAAGGGCATCTACTATTTAGCAACCAAACCCCAAACCACTTTATCCAATAATATAATACAACCAAGTATTACTTAAATATGAAAATGTGAATACAGCAAGATATAAACAATCACAAAAAAAATCATGGAAAATATTAGTCTACCTCAAAAAACATTAACACTATTATCAGAGCTTCTTGATTACTAATCTAGTAGTAATATAAATATAAATTTCAGCAACTACAAGTAACATTTCCTCCATCTGGGCTCTCTCCTTAACATCAGAGTATCTAACATAGCATAATAAACAAATAATTCAGTTTCTAATACTGTTGTCTTCCCCAAGATTGAGAAAATTTGTTTATGAAGCAGTGAAATGTCAGTTTTGTCAATAACCCGCATTACAAGCATGTACATTTTCAAACCATGAATTACCAGAAAGATTTTACAGTTAAATTTATAGTCACTTTATTAGTTTTCATTTAAAACACAAACAGGAACAACAAACTGCTCCTACGAAACCAAACTAAAAAACATTTTAAATAGATATATAGAATATATTCCTCATTTAGCAGTTACCATCACTTTATAACCCAAAAGAAAACCTTAAAAGACATCATGCATGTTTTTAATATTCCATTTGAATTAAACTTATTGATACAAAAATCAAAGAACCATTAAGAACAGAAAATAAATCAACTTTACTTACTGGTAAAGTCAAATACCTACCTTGTTTCTCATTGTAGATGATATTCTTACACAATAGGTCATTATGGCAAAGCACAACAGGTGAGCCCAGGTTGGACAGACTCTCCTTCATCCAAGTCATCTCTTCCTGAAGAATCTGAGAGCTTGGGATATCACTTAGGAACCTTTTAGTTTTAAAAGAAGAGTTATACCTTGTGTTTGTATTAATGACATTTTTCTAATTTGACTAAGGATTAAAATCTATTCTAAATAAATTTGTTCAGCTTAATTGTACACACACTTGAACTAAAACAATAGGCCAGTTATTCTGAAAAAATGGAATAAACTATGAATTTTAACATGATTAAAAAGAAACTGAGCAACAGTTAAAATGTAGGATGGAAAAGAAAAAATACATCACTATAAATTTGGGGAGGTAATAATACTAACGTTTACTAAGCACTATTCCAAATGTTTTAGACTCATCTCCCCTTTATATATAGGGAATCCAAGACACAAAAGGTTTGACAAGTTGAGGTTTAAGTACATTTTAAACTTGCAACATTACATAAAAGAAGTGAAATACAGGACTTCCCTGGTAGCACAGAGATAAAGTCTCAATGCTATAAAGTAATCACCAGCCACTGCAGCATGAGTTCAATTCCTGGCCAGGGAGATGACCCACATGGCCCAGCAGACCACTTCTGTCTCACCTGCTGTGACCCTCAGCAGTGTATTTCAGTAGAACCTCTTGCTCTGCTCCCCACTGTCTGGTGTGAATCCTTTCACACCCCCACATCTGGCCTACACCCCCGTTCTTGTATGCATAAATAAATCTTTAAGTAAGAGAAAAAGGAAAGGAAGAGGGACCCTCCCTAGTGGTGCAGTGGGTTAAAGTGCAGCACTATGAAGCTATCCACAGCCACTAAGCACATGTTCAATCCCCGGCCAGTGAGGTGACCCACACAGTGTGGCAGACCTTTCCCAACAGGCCACCTGCTACCCTCAGCAGTGTATTTATTTCACTAGAGCCACCTGTTCTGTTCCCCACTCTGTCTCTAGTGAATCCTCTCACCCCTTGCACGTCTGGCTTGTACCCCAGTTCTTGTAGGCAAATTAATCTGAAATATCTATTTCAAGCTTGGAAAGGGAAAGGTAAATGTATAAATCAGCTAACCTCTCAGTAAAATTCACATTTCAAAGTCAAAAGGTATTTCTACTACTGACAATTCGTTATTATTTGATCACATAACCATGACAGACATATAACAGTATTATCTATTATACAATCTTCCTGGAAGTGTGAGACTGGACAGGTGGGAGGTAATATGAAGCAGAACTAGAGATCATGGATTTTCATTCTATACCCTTCTGTATTTATCATGCTATATTTGTATCACTTTGATCAAAATAAACTGAACTAAAAATAGGCTGCTAATTCAATAGCATCAGACTTGAAAATTGATAGTCACCCTCTCTTCTTAAAACATTAAGCCAACTTCTCATTTTCCTCTAGTCTCTCAAATTATACTTTTGTTTTTTAACTTTACAATATAAAAAAGATGATATACTACCTGTATTTTCCTAAGCACTGCATTCTATTCTAAAGGAGCTTCCAGTGATACTCCTTACTAGTTCTTTTCAAAATGGTGTTAACTGTTCAAGAATCTATTTAAAAAGTAGAGTTAGGGGCCTCCCTGGTGGTGCAGCAGGTTAAAGCGCAGCACTGGTTAGCTGCAGCTGCTTTAGTGAGTTCCATCCCAGCCCAGGTGCTGACCCACATGGCATGGCAGACCTCTCCTGCTCACCAGCTGCTCTCCTCAGCAGTGTACTTTGTTAATCTGCCTTTCCTGCTCCCCACTCTATCTCTAGTAAATCCTCTCACCACCCTTGCACCTCTGGTCTGTACCCCACTTCTGTATGCATAAGTAAATAAATCTTTTTTAAAAATTCCTAAAAGATAAAATATTACTACTTCCATTTTACAGATGAGCAAACAAGTCACTGCCCAAGGTTACAAAGTTCAAGTGAAATTTGATCTCAGGCAGTCAACCTTCAGAATCTTGTACCCTTAACCATAACTCTATATTCACTACTGCTACATATTTCATTATTTTTAAGTGGTTTTCCCAAAACTTTTCATTAAACAGCTACTTTAAAATAAGATTTGTCACTTCCTGTGTCTAGCAGACTAGACACAGTTCAAAAATGTCCTTATATCAGTTAAAAAGGTGTAATATGTAATAGCCCTATCAGATTTAATGCCTGACAAATTACCTTAAATATTAACATACACAGGACAAAACTAATCTTTGAAATAATCAAACTAAACAGAACAATACAGTTTTATCCCCAATAATTATTAAAAATGTTTAAAAACAAGAAAAAAATGTATAGGTCTCTGTTTGTCTATGTTGTTCTTAAAACAAGGTCTTCATGAAAACAAAACCTGAAGTATTCAAGTAAATATTCAAGTAAGTTTTAGATATAAAGAACAAAATAAAATTTTCAATTGTATACTGGTACTAATCACACTACATAAAAATGTTCATATAATTTTGTAAGAAATAATGACTTACAAAGTTTTTATACAGAAAATTATGAAATACTTTAGTCAGTGTGAACCTGGAGTCAATATTAAAGGTTAATATCCCAATGAATGAGTTTTCAATCTTAGTCGCAGTGAACTAGATAACCCAAAATCTCTCAGTCCAGCAGTAACAGACTACACCAATGTAGAGTTACAGGGTCTACAATTATACCAATGTAAAGCTTTAAAATAGCCTAAAACAAAAAAGTATTTTTAAAGGTCCCCATTGCCAGGACCTGCAAAAATGTTCCTGTTCATAGTAATCTTACATTTACTTTTTAAAAAATGTCATATCTGTTTTTTGTCCCTCACCTCTATTTCATCCCCAACCAGCACTTTTGCTGGATTGTGTTTTTCAGGTTGTATTTATTTATTTATTTATTTATTTATTTTTTGCTGGCTGGGAAAGAGGAAGCCATTTCTGTAAAGAGTGAGTCAATGCTTATTTTACTTAAGTACAAAGAGATAAACCAAACCAGATTTCATACACAGAAACCCTAGAGTTATTTTTGAAGCCTATCATCTAATGCAATGTAAAACATAATTTCAAATGTATAAAAATAATTTTACCTTTTATTAATGGCTTCATCTGTAAATCCTGTGGGAATAAGAGAAAAATATTTTCTCATCTTCAGCCATAAATTGGATTTGGGAATCCAGCCATTATGTGCATGTATAGCATGGATTTTAGCAAGCTGGCGTGCTATTAGCCTATTTAAAAACAAAATGACAAAAAATAAAATATTAAGCATTATAAAACTCATCCATGTATCCCCAAGTAAATTAAAAAGCCCAGTAGCATTTATTTTATAGCATGTTTCATTTTTTTCTTGTGTAAGATTCAAAGTTGCAAGTAAACACTCAAAGAACTAAAAGTGTTCAAAAGCATCAGTAAAAAGGCCTATTTTGATTATACAATGTTTGGGACCAGGATCCTCCCTGGTGGCGCAATTGGTTAAAGCATAGCACTAAGGAGCAATCATCAGCCACTATAACATGAGTTCAATCCCCAGCCAGGGAGGTCACCCACATGGCACAGCAGACCTCTCCTGTCTCCCGCTCTGCTCCTCTAAGCAGTATATTTCAGTAGATCTGCCTACTCTGTTCCCCACTCTGTCTCTGGTGAATCCTCTCACCACACCTGCACCTCTGGCATGTAGTACCCTACTTCTGTATGCATAAATAAATACTTAAAAAAATAAACTGGTAAATTTTCAAAATGCTATAATATAATGCTTTTCAAAATATAGTCCTAGGGACCTACAATGTGTAACAGCACCACCTACGATTGTCTGAGGTTCCCAACTGCCATCTATTGAATCACAATTTCTGGGATTGAGTGACCCCCAGCACTTTGCATTTAAAATAAGATTTCCAGGTGATCCTAAGTCCATGATAACGAGCAAGGATGCCTCATATAATGCTTTTACTCTGCAATCTAGTTACATATTAAAATCAAACACTGAAAGCTTCCAAAAAAAGAAAAAGAGACTATGATGCCACTTACAGGAGATACCTACAGTAGTCATGCAAACAGTAGAATGACAGTTGCCAAGGCATGGGGAGTAAAGTGTAAGAAGCTGTTCACTGCATAAAAAATTTGTTTTATATGATGAAAATAATTATACAGAGAATGGGTATATTATAATAAAGAGAATGTATAAATGCTACTGAACTGTATGCTAAAAAAAAATAACTGATGCTACTTTTTTTGTTGTTGTTGTATTTTACCACAATTAAAAAGAAAACTTTGGGGGCCTCCCTGGTGGCATAAGGGGTTAAGTCTCAGCATAAGTTAGAACCCTGGCTAGGGAGGGACCCACATGGTGCCACAGATCTCTCCTGTGTCGCCCCTGCTCCCCTCAGCAGTGTATTCCCATCAATCTGCCTGTTCTGCTCCCCACTCTGTCGAATGCTCTCACCCCCAACACCTCGGGACTATATGCCAGTTTGTGTATGCATAAATAAATAAAATAAATCATTTTTTTAAAATGTGATTCTTAAAAAGACTTGATTAGAGTACTTCAATTGTTTTTCTAATAGTAAATTCCATATGCAAAACTATAAAAAACTATTCACTAAGATAAATTAGCATTATTTACTACACCATTAGCTGTTTTATATATAAGATAATTTTTAAAAGTAACTTAAAAGATTTCTACTTCTCACTACCATAGATTGGTCCTTTTACCAAGTCTCAATAAGTAAGATTTTACTGCACTATCATTAAGGCAAATATTTGAAAATCTCAAGGTTTCAGAGAACTCCCTCAAATATCCACTAATACTAACTGTTCGCCCTCTTAAAAGCTTCTAAAAAATTAAGAGCATTTTAACAGGAAGTTTTTGAAATTGAAAAACAGAGAATCCTATCATCCCAACAGTTTCATTTTTACCACTCCCTTTGAGTTTTCAGATAAACAAATCACTGTAGCTACAATTCAGCTAAAAGGCTGCTTTTTCTCTTCTTCAACCTACATCAGCCATTTTGCATTAGACAATACTCAAAAATTACCATATTGAGATAATACTGATCTGTGTTGATGTACCTTAGTTGTAACTAAGAGTTTTCATTACAGAATAGACCATTACCACTTTCTTTCTTGACTATGTACTGCCTTTGACCTCCTAAAGAGAACATTATCTATCAACTTTGTTTATAACCCACAAATAACTGTTCCACAGCAATGCCCTCAACATTGAAAGTTGGTGATTTTTGTTATGCTTTTTAATAAATGTACAGTAATTTATTTAAACTGCATTTTCCACATGTATATTGTCAGTATTCCCAGAGCAAAATGTGGTTTTGAGAAACACCTGATGAAAAAATTCCTAATGAAATTTTTAAAATTTTGAAGGTCTCGGCAATGCTTGATTACTAAAAAAAAAAGTTCAAATATAAAAAGACCATGAAGGCCTCCCAAGTGGCACAGGGGTTAATGTCTCAATGCTATTAAAACACCCCAGACACTGCAAGAGTTCCAACCAGGGAGCTAACTAACCCCACAGGTGGCAGCAGACCTCCCCTATCTTATTTAGCTGCTCCCCTCAGGGGTGTATTTCAGTAGATCCTCTTGTTTTGCTCCCTATTCTGTCGCTGGTGAATCCTCTCACTGCCTCCCTAACTCTGGCATCAATGACCTATACCCCAGTTCTTGTATACATAAATAAAATAAAAATAAATAAATCTTGGCCCTCCCTGGTGGCGCAGCGGGTTAAAGCACAGCACTAAGAAGCTGAAACCACTTCCGCATGAGTTCGATTCCCGCCTGCCCCGGAGATGACCACATGGTGTGGCAGACCTCTCCTGACCCGCCCACTGCTCCCCTCAGCAGTGTACTTCGTCAGTCTGCCTGTTCTGCTCCCCACTCTGTCTCTGGTGAAGCCTCTCACCGCCCCTGAGCCTCTGGCCTGTACCCCAGTTCTGTATGCACAAATAAATCTTTAAAAATAAATAAATAAATAAATAAATCTTTAAAAAAAAAAAGGAATATGATGAATTCCCCAACTCCCCTAAATTAATTTAGTTAGGAAGTAATTTGGTACAATTGGTCTTTTCCTACAATTCCATTCTCTCTGCCTCATCCTTTAATGTCCACTTCAAATGTGAGCTAGTGAAATACTGTCTAATTTCCTACTATAATACAGTAAACTGTACTTTTTCTGAAAATCCTTCCTGTGTAACTTTATTTAGTTTACTTTCCCCCCAAGATAATTGTGTGGCACAGACTTTAATTTATTAGGAGGGACTAAATTATTTTTTCCTCTTCAACTAGACTGAATATATATTCCAATGCCTTTTATATTCAAAGTAAATATTCCTTATCATAGTCATAATCCAGGCATATAACTATGTCTAAATAAGCCAAAGCAAGGATCTGTGATCTCTTATTAATATTTACTGAAATTGTAATTAATCATTCTAGACTGAGAAGCCTACTGATGTTTGTGAAAGATAATGAAGATTTATAAATAAATTAATTAATTAAGATGTGACTTAATAATAATGGCTCAAAATGGACATCTAAACTAGTCCCAAACTGGTAGCAAGCACTTATTAATAAGTCAAAAACCTTTCTTCACCATAAATATGAAAAATTCTATTTTTAAAGGAGAAAAACTAACTAACCACATCATCCTAAATTCACACCCTTAATCCCAAGGGCTCCATACCATTATTTATTCAGTTGCATACTTGATGCCTCTATAAAGTATTGACTGCACAAATCTGAAAACAATAAAACTATGATTCCTTTTTAAAGTCATATATAATTCAGCTCTTTTACTCAAAAGTATCTTTCCTCAACTGGCTTACATTTTCTTTTAGTTATTATCAAAAAAACTACTAAGCACTTAAATTTCTATAAGGGAATTATAACGTAATCGTAAATAAATAACAAAATAAGGTAAATAGCAAGTACTCATAAGGCCTACTAATCATATCCTATTACAGAGTTCCTTACAGTTATCTTTTGCTTCCTTTCTCAGCCTCAGCTCTTCTGTTTTTCTTTTTCAAAATTGTGGGTTAACTCAATACATCACTTGTTGCAAACCAACTGTCACAGAACTGAATATACCCCATATTTCTATCAGTATACATTCTATCAGTATTTCTATATCTATTTCTATTTCTATCAGTATACATTCTAACTTTCTGTATTATAGGGCTACATCAGTACCACAGACATACAACATAATCATGCTCTAAAAAAGCAGATCTAGTTAAGTACTGGAAAAGACAAAAGATCAAGAGCAGTTTTAGGCTTATAACAAAATTTGGGGAAGGTCCAGAGGTTTCTCATAAGGAGGAGGCCAATGCTACTACCAGAGTGTACCGTTGTTATGAGAAACCCACACTGACACAGGACTATCATCCAAAGGCCACAGCTTACATGAATGGTGCACATTTTGTGGACATAACAAAATGATGTCAGATACAGACCGTTCAATATCATACAGACATTTTCACTTCCCTAAAAATCCTGATGTAGTCATCTCTTCCTCCTAACCCTTGCCAACACTATTTTTTTTTTACTGCCTCCATAATTTTACTTTTTCCTTGTTATACTCAATTTAACTTTATCATGTTTGTGACTATCAAATACCAAAGAAAGCTTTGACAAAACATCAGTGTTTGGGGGGAGGGGAGGAACTGTAAATATTGCTACCGTTCTACTTAAAGTTACTTGAAAAACATCAATTATGAGTTTTCCCTAAACCAAAAATTCTACATTAAACTTGATAATTTTGTCAGCAATTCAAATGAAATTTTATAGTACTAAGACAATTCAGAATTATAAATGTGAAATGTATGTTAAGTATTGATAGGCTTTGCAAAGACAGTTAAGACTGCTATAGAAGTAAAAATGGCATTAGCTATAAGCAATTTTTTTTTAAAGATTTATGCATACAGAAGTGGGGTACAGGCCAGAGGTGAAGGGATGGTGAGAAGATTCACCAGAGACAGAGTGGGGAGCAGATCAGACCGACTGACGAAGTACACTGCTGAGGGGAGCAGCGGGCAGGTCAGGAGAGGTCTGCCACACTATGTGGGTCACCTCCAGGGCGGGGATCGAACTCATAGTGAAGTGGCTTTAACTTCTCAGTGCTGTGCTTTAACCTGTTGTGCCACCAGGGAGGGCCCAGCTTTAAGCAAATTTTTTCTTAAACCTTATGGATACCAACTCCTAAAACTAGTCTTTCCTTCCCACTATAGCTATTAGGAAGTGGATGGGAGGCTTTTCTAATACCTTACATTTTTATAACTGATTCAAACTCTAGCTTTCTCTTTGGCCTAAAATGATGCACTTACTTATTTTTAATCCTATCATAGACCTATTTCTCCATCTCTGTGGATGATAAATTAAGGGGAAAACATATATATTCAAGGCTATCTAAGAGCAGACCGATTCAGGATCCTTCAACACATTCTAAGCAGTATATTTTTTAAAAGAACCTATATCTGATAGTTGAAAAGTAGAATCTGCATACATCTCTATAATACTGGCCCATTCCATTCTTTATTACTGCATTAAAACTTGGAAATAAGAAATGTGGAAACATTTTAATTTAGGCACTACTTTAAAAAAATCAAAGGGAAACCCCAATCCTATGGAGTAGGCTAATCCAAAACCTCCTGAACTCCATCCTTTTGCAAAGTCGAGTCAAAATGACAGAAAATTTTCCTCCTTTAGAAAACACAAACCAAAATACTAATTAAAAAGGATTTCTAGGCCCACCCTGGTGGCGCAGCGGGTTAAAACACAGCACTGAGAATCTAAAGCCGCTTCCGCATGAGTTCAATCTCCGCCTGCCCCGGAGGTGACCACATAGTGTGGTAGACCCCTCCTGATGCACCTACTGCTCCCCTCAGCAGTGTACTTCGTCGGTCTGCCTGTTCTGCTCCCCACTCTGTCTCTGGTGAAGCCTCTCGCCGGCCCTGAGCATCTGGCCTGTACCCCAGTTCTGTATGCACAAATAAATAAATAAATCTTTAAAAAAAAAGAAAACAAGGATTTCTAAGATAACCAAGTAAATGTTCAAAGAAAGGACCATTCTACAATTATTTCAGTGCATTTAAGAAAGAAAAACTATCTAGAAAAACATACATACCTGAAAATAGCAGGGTTACAGACATGTTTTGTATCCAGTGCTTCTCCCTGTATAAATTCATAGCACAGTCCATTGTTGAAAGTGCAGTAGAGCTGTGGTGCACAGCCATGAGCCTGCAACACTCGGAAACTCTTTACTTCCTCATCTCGGTCCACTAACAATTCAGTTTTATTGCCATAAATTCTCACCAGGACTACATCTTCCATTGCATCACCAACATAACAGCCAATAAGTTTATTTGTGATTCCATCTGTGAAAAGCTACCAAAAGAAAAAATGGGGGAGGAGGGTTCAATTATATACTTTATGATACAGAATAAACAGTAATCAAATACTAATTAAAATAATTACTTTTTTAAATGAAAAAACTTTTTAATATTATCCTCATGTCTATAAATTTAATTGATTTAAGCAAAAAGGAAGGGTACTAATTTAATGCATTACTCTTAAATTCATGTCTTTCTTGACTTTTTCTATGTCTAATATATGGGACTTTTTCTATGTCTAATATATGGGAAGTATCTGAAGTATTCCTCTTCCTAGTATTGTATATGACATTGTTTAAATATACAAATATAATCTACTCTAATTATGATAAATGCCCAAGTTATTTGAAAAACTCTGAATTTTAAATGTTAATTCTAAAAGTCACATAACATAACATGTATTTGACTGGGTTCTAATTCTTTAAACTAGAAAACTATAGCTAAAAAAGAAAGTAAAACCTTAGAGGAAATACATTTAAATAGAGATTTATACCATATTTCCTGAATGGGCCTTTTGGGACCTTATAAGATCTTAAAAAATTCAAGTACTTCAATCATCTTTCAGATTAGAGCACAAATTGTATACTTCAAAAGCACACAGATAATTAGCATTACTAGTTCTGTAAGTCTATTCAAAAACTAACTTTCACTTTCCACTATATTAGGACTAAAACTAAATTTTCTGTTTAGCAGCTATAATTCAGAGCCTTTGAAAGCTCAAAGATGAATAAAGAAATGAGAAAAAGGTGAAAGCAAGAGTTAAGGACCTTCTTTTCACAACTAGAAAACAGAGAAATTTTTAAATGGGTATAAATTTAGTTAGTGCCTGAGAGTGAGGGTAAATTGTTCTATTTCAGTAGGACTGTTATAACAATAAATGACATCTGAATAGCTTTTAGATCGTCAGATAAAAATATTAAAATTAATCAAATGAGATTTTTGTGTTTCTTTGTATTATATACAAGACTTGGTTGCTGTCTTTGTTTACCTAATATGATAAATCTTTTTTTAATGTCGTTTTTTTATGTTTATTTTTACATCATTTTTTTTTTCCATCTCAGTTGTAATCCTCATAGAGGTCCCACCACCAATTCACCTGTGTGCCATCACCATAGTTCTATGCACTCCCCCATTCTCATTTTTGATCCCATTTCCCACTCCACCCCCATAAAATGTCTCTGGTTTATAGTTGTTTGTTGCCACCCTCCCATCCTGGTCCTTTAATGCTCCTGCTATGAGTGCAACCATCTGGTATTTTTTTTTTTCTTTCTGGCTTATTTTGCTAAGCATGATCCCCTCCAGCTCCATCCATGTTGCTGCAAAGGGCATAAGTTTGTCTTTTTTGATTACTGAGTAATATTCCATTGTGTATCTGTACATCTTTATGATCTAGTCATCTACTTTTGGGCATTTGGGTTTGTTCCACATCTTTCCTATTGTAAATAAAGCAGCAATAAACATGGGGGTGCAGTTGTCTTTTTGAATCAATGCTTTTGTGTGTTTTGGGTAGACAGCCAGGAGTGGGATTGCTGGGTCATATGGAAGCTCCATTTTAAGAAGTCTGAGAAACCTCCAAACAGCTTTCCATAGTGGTTGCACCAGTTTGCATTCCCACCAGAAGTGTAGGAAAGTTCCTTTTTCTCCACATCCTTGCCAACATTTGTTGTTGTTAGCTGTTTTAAAATGTGCCATTCTCTGGAGCTTCCATACAACCCAGCAATCCCACTCCTAGGTATCTACCCAAAAAACACAAAAACAGTGATTCAAAAAGATACCTGAGCCCCCATGTTTACTGCTGCTTTGTTTACAATTGGAAAGACATGGAAACAGCCCAAATGCCCAAAAATGGATGACTGGGTTAAAAAGATGTGGTACATATACACAATGGAATATTACTCAACAACCGAAAAAAAGAAACACATGTCTTTTTGCAGCAACATGGATGCAACTGGAAAAGATCATGCTTAGTGAAATAAGCCAGAAAGAAAAGGAAAAATACCAGATGATTTCTCTCATAGCAGGAATATAATGGAACAGGCGAGAAAATAATGATACCAGAGACATTTTGTGGGGGTGGAGTGGGGAATGGGAACAAAAACAGCAGGGGGAAGGAAGTGCACTGGACTACCGTGATGGCACATGGGTGATTGGTGACAGGAAGCCCAAGGGGACTGCAACTGAGATGGAAAATGCACAAAATGATGTAAAAAAAAAAAACTATTTTATATATATATAGTGCCATTCTCACTTGTGTGAGGTGGTATCTCATATTTTATTCTGCATCTCTCTTATTACAATTGATGTTTAACATTTTTTCATATGCTATTGGCCATCTGTATTTCCTCTTTGGACAAGTGTCTTTTTAGCTCTTCTGCCTATTTTTTTATGGGGCTGTTTATTTTTGTTGAGGTTCACCAGTTCTTTATCTACTTTTATGATCAATCCTTTATCATTCGTATGGTGTGAGAAAATTTTTTCCCAATCAGTGGGATGTCTGTTTGTTTTGTGTAATGTGCCTTTTGCTGTACAGAAGCTCTTTAACTTGATGTAGCCCCAGGTGTTTATCCTTTCCTTCGCTACGCTTGTGTTGGGTGTTGTATCTTTAAAGATGTTACTGAGTTATGTCATGTAGTGTTTTGCCCACCTTTGTTTCAAGTTCAAGGTATTTTATGGTTTTGGGTCTTATGTCTAGGTCTTCAATCCACTTCAAGTTGGTTTTTGTGCATAGTGCAAGGTAGTGATCTAGTTTCACTTTTTTGCATGCGGTTTCCCAGTTTTCCCAGCACATTTGTTGAACAAACTTTCTTTGTTCCTTTGTATATTCTTTGCTCCTTTGTCAAAGATTAGCTGCCCATAAACCTGAGGGTTTATATATGGGTTTTCTATTTGAATCCACTGGCCTGTGTGTCTGTTCTTGTTCCAGTACCTAGTATGATACATCTTTTTAGTGAAATTGTTATTTCATGTTCTTACAGTCCTTTGTAAAAGGAAATTCATGTACTTGGTGTATTATTTTCTCAGAGTAGTACTGACTTAGAAAAATGACTGATTTAAAATATTCTTACTTGCTGACTTAATTTTCTTTAATTGCTACAGTGATTGTCACTAGAGGGAAGCAGAGGTTAGGATAAGAAGGGAAATAGTTACCCTGGACAGCTGGTCACATTTCTTTCTTTCCCTCAGTTGGGGTTACAGTGCTCGTTTTGAAACAATTTATGTCTCTTGCTTGCTTTGTATGTTTGCTATGTCTCACAATTTTTAAGACTGATATAAATTTATTCATACCCCCATCTAATATATCAAAAAAGTAAAATAGGAGCCCTTCCTTGCAGTGCAACAGGTTAAAGCACAGCACTATGAAGCTCTCCGCAGCTACTGCAGCACAAATTCAATCCCCAGCTATGGTGGTCACCCACATGGCGTGGCAGACCTCTCCTGACCCGCTCGCTGCTCCCCTCAGCAGTATACTTTGTTCATCTGCCTGTTCTGCTCCCCACTCTACCTCTGGTGAATCCTCTCTCCCTCTGCACCTCTGACCTGTACCCCAGCTCTGTATGCATAAAAAAATCTTTAAAAAAAAAAAAGTAAAATAACTCTTCATAAGACAAAAATCATGAGAAATACAACTTTAAACATAGGTCCTACATTACTTCCCCATCTTTGTTACAAAACAAAACAAAAAACCCTTAAGCTCTCCTTCTTTTGTTAACTCCAACTAAGTTAACAAGACCTGCACATTTATTTTCTAAAACATCATATTTTATTTTCATTCTCCAAGGCCACAGTATAATTTGGGCTGTAGTAACTCTTTCTGGACTAACATAACTATCGCTCCCAGGTTTTTCAAAGATTTAATGCAATACACAGAAATGTATTGATAATCTAATTCAGTACACAGATGTTTATATAAAACTACAACAACCTACAAAAACTATAACTTACCTTATTACTTTCCAGGCAACCTGATCTATCACATCTTATTTTAACTCTTCTTCTTAAACTGTTGTGGTTTCAACCCACTGTATTGATTTAGCATCCTATTAGAGTGTGGTAGCACAGCTTCAAAACCCATGTCCTAAGTGATCATTCACCAATTCCAACATATCTCGTAACTAATGCTGCCTACATGTAGCCTGCCACCTAAAAAATAAGTCACATAAGTCATCTACTGAAAAACATTCAGGCTTCTCATTATATCCTATATAATAAAATACTACTTCCTTAAGGCACAAACCCTTATCTATTCACTCCCTTTTTAAAAAATCACTCCCTCTTCCTTTCTTATTCATGCTCTACTCTGCCCAAAATACTGATATTCTAGCTTATCAAGCAGTCTTCTTTGCCCAAAAATGATTCTACATTCCTTATGATCATGTCTTTCCTTTCAAGTTACCCTCAAATATACCCTCCTCTATGAAGCCTCCCCTGCCTACCTTCTACAATTAGTTTTACAAAGGAACAGTAATGGAAATTATTGAGCCTTGTACAAAAAGCACATGCCGGAATTACTGAAGTTCAGAGCTTATTCTTGAAAACAATTTTTCAACTGGCAAATAGGCAGGTTGGAGGGAGGGGGAGTAGGAGATCAGAAATAGACACACAAGGCCCTCCCTGGTGACACAGCGGGTTAGGGTTAAGGTGCAGAACTGTAAGCAAGCAGCAGTCACTTCAGTGCAAGTTTGATCCTTGGCCTGGAAATGATCCACATGGGGCCCAGGCCTCTCCTGACCTGCCTGCTGCTCCCCTCAGCAGTGTACTTCCTGTTCTGCTCCCCACTCTCTCTGGTGAATCCTCTCACCGCCCTGACACCTCTGTCATTTACCCCACTCTGTATGCATGCATGCATGAATAATGAATAAATAAATCTTAAAAAAACAGACACACAAGAGTCCTAAAACATGCTGTGAATTATTTACTTCATTTAATTCTCGTGCTACATTCCAGAGTAGAGTAATTCCATTTTATAGAGATTTTAAAACTTGCCAAAGGTTAGAAATGGCTGGGTCAGTATTCACAAACCATGAGATGAAGTAGTTCTTTAGTAGAAATCCTACTACTGTTAATATGAAAATGAGCTAGCGCATTAAGTTCCTGGCTTTATGGTCACATCTTAATAAAATACATGGCAGCCTATAAACATTATTTATCTTTGATAGGAGTTTATCAAACATTATATATCTCTTAACTATAATAAGTATATTTTTAGGTACTATCACCTTCTTGAATATTATAAACACTGAAAACAACTGAGAAGGGATACAAAAAACTAGATTTAACCACTGATATTGAAAGCTATACTGAATGAAAAGATACCTATATCTGTATCTTATATCTTATCTATAACTCAAGGTCCCTATATCATATCCGTCCAGCACATTTAAAATATATTACTTAAATTTATCTAAAAATTTTCTCTCTTAGGGCATCCCTGGTGGCACAGGTCTTAAGTGTCAGCTGATCACCAGCTACTGCTGCATCAGCTGGATTCCATAGCACAGCACACCTCTCCAGTATCACCTGCTGCTCCCATCAGCAGTGTATTTCAATAGATATGTCTGTTCTGCTCCCCACTGTGTCTGGTAAACCCTCTCACCTTCTGCACCTCTGGTCTATACACTCCAGTTCTTAAATGCATATATAAATACAAAATAAATCTTCAAAAAAAATAGGTAAGTTAGCAAAACAAGATGTTAGCTTTAAAATGGCACTTAGTAATGATATTGATGATATTCTTATCCTAGCTATCAAACTTTTGCCATTAACTACAGGCTCCAAATTAAAGAAAAATTTACAAGATAATGAAAAAATAAAGATCCAACTATGCAGAGAGGGAGAGTTGGACACAATCTCCTAAAATATTCAAACACTGATTTCACCATCTTTTTCAGAATGATAACAATTTTAAGAGTCCTGAGAACTATTCTGTTGGGCCATAGCACTATTACTAGATTCTAAACTCCTTTATACAAGGACAAACCAAAGAAAAGTCAGTAAGTTGAAAATCCTATTTTTAAATAGAACATGGAGGCAGTTGTTATTAAAGGAAAACTGAAGTGAATCCCTTTTTAAAAATTTATGTCACATATGGAGGATGTAATGTAAAGTTATCTTTCAGGAAACATTCAGAAATCAAGTTTTATTTTTTAATAGGCCGATGTTTTCATTCTTAATTTTTACACAAAATGGCTCCCCTGTCTTTAACATAATACACAAACATAAACTTCTTGGTCAAAGATTAACTCAAAGTAGATTCTCACTACAGATCTGCATTTATAAACTACAAATTCAATTCCACTAACAGATATGCTAACATACATTTCACTAAAGTATATATACCAGGGGACCTCCTTGTTATGAGGCTTATGAACATTATGAGGCTATCAGCAGCCACTGTTAACAGGAGTTCCATACCCAGGCAGCCAGGGAGCTGACCCACATGGCACAGCAGACCTCTGCTGTCTGGCTTGCTGCTCCCCACAGCAGTATATTTCAGTCAATCTGCCTAATCCCCTCTCTGTCTCTGGTGAATCTTCTCACCCACCCCCTCACCTCTAGCCTGTACCTAGTTCTTGTAAGCATAAATAAATAAATCTTTAATACAGATATATATATGTTATACATATATTTTCTATATAAACAGTTTAAGCTTCCTCACTAAATTGCTACTGGAAGAATATTATGTTAAAGTGCTTCATAAACAGTGAAATATTATAACATGAAAAGCACTATAATTAGTATTATTTTAAATCTTTGCCTATTGTAAGATACATCCCAAAAAGCTCACCACCATCCCCCCATACTTTAATGCCTTTAATTGTGTACATATAGAAAAAACATTTGCTAAAACCCTACCTAGAGGAGGTACATTATTCCATATTTCCATGAATTTTGAGCAAAGATGATCCTGTATCATTCTGACTGCATCACAGTCTGTTTACTCACTTCTAGATTTCCCATATGTTCTAGATAGCTTAGCTGGCAGAGTAACTACCAGGTAAAATAAATATTACTAACATAAGCTTATAAGGTATGTTTAAAGCATATTCTAAATTACATGAAAAATTTAGGGAAAAAAATCTTCCCCAAAATGAGCTATTTTATTGATATAAAAATCAGCTAATTATTTTAATCTGTTAACTATATAATACATATATCTCCTCTGAAATGGGAAGTATAAATTTTACCTTTATACTTAAAAAGAAACAAATCTCAAAAGAAAATATTCTTATTGAGATTTACTAAAGAAATCCTGATGCATCATAAAAGCAGAGTTTGTAATGATCTAGAATATGAGTGAAACCTACTAAGTTTAGAGATGAATAACCATCATTTCAGCACAGTAATTGTCTCAGCTTCTAGGTATGTATTTCTTACTAATAATCATCCTTGGGACAAAAATCAGTTGTAGTATTTACCTTCATTTACAAATAAATTTGGATTATGAGCTCAAATCCTAAATTGTTAATCAGATAAAATAATCAATTTCAAGTAATTTCCAACAATCAAAAAATGTAATGTTATCACCTTCTGTCCCTTTTTTATCTAAATCCTAACTTTACTGAGTTAAAAACTAAAAAAAAAAAAAAATTAATTACACATGAAAAAAAAAAGTGCCTACCTACTTTGATTGTTTGGAGTTTTAAATGATTAAAAAAAAAAAAATTCCCAGGGCTACAACCTAGTTCACAGTACCTCTGAACAGCTATCATTACTGTTCTACAAATGCATCAACAGAAACTCTTGTCTCCAACTTTTAAAGTCTCTGCTTAAAAAGTAGTATGGTTTGCCAAAACAGAATTACCAGGAAGTAGCACTGCCTTTAATTAGTATCTGTTTAATTTACACTTGGCAGCCAGAATACAAATCATTTAATAAGTGTAAGAACAGTCTATAATAAGCAACAAATTAGTTAATGAATTATAAACTAAGTCTGGAGTTTCAATAAATTTAATTTTCCTTAAGCAAGATATATATACATACATATATACATATATATGTATATATGTATGTATTTGGGGGGAGCATCTTAATGTGCTCAAATTTCCTTCTAGACAAAATTTGTCCTCTAGAGAAAAAGTGAAACTAACACTCCACAAAGTCCTGTGTCAAGAAGAGTTCTGGGTTCTAGGATTCAAGTTTTATTAATCTTTGTATAGGTGGCTACTTTAGTAAAGATTCTGAACACTGTTAAGTCACTAACTGCTAAATAAACTAAAATTAGTCAACAAAACAAGGTAAATGATTTGATTACTTCAAATGAATGTTCTGACATTAGTACTCAGATTTGAAGCAAACCCCACACATCCTCCCTTTCAAGTATTTGTTTTAGGAAGGGAAAAACGGTTCCCTTTCCCATAAATACAGCTTTTGAAACTCCAGAAGTTAAAAACTAATCAAATATCATGGAAACGAAATCATTATTTATTAAAAAAAAAAAACTCGATTCTTTAATATTATTGTAGTGAATACAGCGACTCAAGAAAAAGAAATATGCTCAAGCCACCGGTCATACTAACATCGGATATTACTAATTTTATTAATACGACTTAAAAAATATCCGAAACAGCTATTCAAATAATGTGTGCACAGCTACCTAACCAACAGAGTAACGCATGACCACTTTGGAATCGGGTGCTCTGGCCAATCCCAGGATTTAAGAAGATAAAGCGCAGGGTGAGGCATCAATGGGAGTAAAGCCGTAAGGAAGGGCAGGAGGAGGGAGAGAGAGGGGAAGGGGAAGATCAGAGAGGATCAATTACCGCATTACTTGTGGAAGGGGAGAAGATGGCTCTGGCCGAGGGGAAGGACCCCCGAGCCAGCGGAGTGGGGAAGGTGGGCTCTGCAGTTAGAATGGACCAAGGAGTGGGAGGAGGGGCAACTATGAACAGGAATCTTCCCGACGTGGAAACGGGTGCGTCACTAACGCAGCGGCTTCGGGAAAAAGAAAATCTTCCCTAGGTTCAACCTCAATTAGCAATTCTGGAGGAAGGGGGAGTGACCTTCGGAGGCGTGACGGGGGGGCGGGGGGGAGCCCAGGGTCACAATCCGAAGGACGGGGAGAGAAGACGTCCCGAAGGTCCCGCAGGCCACGGGGGGGGAGGGGAGAGGGGGCCGGTGAAGAGCCTCAGGGCTGCGTCAGGACCAGGCGACCCCGGGCGGCGGGTGGGCGTTACCTGCAGGGTCACCTCCTGTGGGTCCCAGTGCGGCCGCAGGTGTTGCAGGAGGCTCAGGGCCCCCTCCCGGCAGCGCTGCTCCTCCTGATCCTGCACAGTGACGTCCAGCTTGGGCACCTCCGGGGAGCTGGGAGGGACGTGGATGTAATTGGCCATGGCCCAGGCGACGGCGGAGACTACCACCACGACGACGGCGACGGCGACCACGAGAGCTGCGGGCGCCGACAGGCTGGTGGCTCCTTCCGTCCCGGGGCGCCCTCGTGGGAGGGCAGGGGGCTCTTAGACTGACTGGCGAGCGGCGGGAGACCGGCGGGAGACGGCGCGGGCGCCGACCCGGGACTGGACAGCAGCTGAACTGAGCCTGGGCCGTTCGCAGGGACGAAGCCTACCGTCTGCGCTCCCCCGCCGGCGGCCGCAGAGCACGCCGGGACTGGCCTGACGCCTGCGTCACGCGCAGGGCGGAGCCTCCGCCGGCGTCACGAGCGCTGCCGACTTCGGCTCAGGCACAATGGGGCAGCCGTCAGCTGGTTCTGCGGCCCACCGGTCCCCTCGGCGTCGCGTACCGTTAATTCCCCAGCTTTAGCCTGCCCCGCTGGCCTTCCCCTCCGGCCTCCTCACTCAGGATCCTGCGGAGACCGGAAAGGCCTTGAAGAGTCGGCGCACCCGATCTGCCGGGTCCCGAGATGTAGGTTTGAATGAGAGCTGTTTTTCTGGGAAGCAGGGATGCGGCATGAAATAAACCTGTCTGAACTTGGACAGGGTCTAGGCAAACTGGATTCACCGATCGCCTCGATCTCGGTTCTGCTCAGTACTGGGGACCACATCGTTGTTGGGTTGAAGATTGATCTCCCATTAGCACCCAAGTTGACTAATGGGGTCATGTATTTGAGATAAACTTAGCTGAAATACCTGCTTATGACAATACCGCAGTTGATAAGGGGTTTTTTTTGTTTTTGTTTTTGTTTTAAGGTCAGATGTTTTCCCACACTAAGAATTATTCATAGCCAGGGAAGGAAGCTCAGCGCCAGCATGGCTCTGTTTTAGGATATCCCTAACTGGACCTTGAAACTGTTACCTTCTCAGGCTTTGGTGTGTTTTTTTTTTTTAAAGCAGCTGTTTCCCCTGTTAAGGGATTACTGGAAGTTGAGTAGTTCATAAGTAATTTATTAGAACACCCTAGTTTTCTTTATGATTGAGAAAATGAGCTGAGATTGATCTCAGTCTGTCTCTCCTTCAGCCCTTTACTGCAAGGTGAATTGTTAATGGTAAATTAAGTCACTGAGGGATTCAGGTTAACACTCAGAATGTTTTATTAACTCATTGTCACGACTTTATATTGATTGTTCCAAAACAACCTACTTATCTTTTAAATCACAAATAGTTACCATCAGTTATAAACTAAAAAGAAGAAAAAGAAAATACAGTTTTATAATACAGCAAGAAAACTGATTCAACATTTTCCATATCTAGGCTTTTTTAAATGTATTACAATAAAACAAAAAACTAGATTATTCCTTCTGTTACAGGGCAGAGAGAGGGGAACTTCCCCTTTTCCTGGGCACCACCGTTAACACTTTCAATTTGAATTAGACATATACTTTCACATTTTAGTATCTCTTGTGTTTTCATGTAAACTATATTTTTTATTAAAGAGTTCACATTTTGAGAATTTTTATTTTTGAATTGTGATATGGTTTAATATTAAAAGATTAAAAAATTATTTCAGAAACTAAAAATTAATTTTAAAGAAGTGTCCGTGGGTTATTAGAAAGGGGGCTTGTGGGGAGGAACAACCACTAGGTACCTAAGAATAAAAAAGAACATATAAGACATTTAATGGAGAAATGAGCCATATTCATGATACATTTCATACTATGAAGAGCTCATTTTTCACTGAATTAATCAAATAGAATCCAGTTATTAAAATCTCAAGAAGGTCTTCATAGAACTTGTTAAAATGACATTAAAGTTCTTAATCTTTGGGTCCAAGGCAAATTGCTATGACTTTTTGTGAGCTAAGGGAGGATCAGAGAACAAGTTGAGAGAACCTACCCCAGAAGGATTTATTATATAATGATTTAGGAATGAGCAAACAGACCAGTAGAATAAGGATTGCCAGAAAAGAGCTACACATATTCTAGAACATTATATATGACAAAGATAGCATTGTTAAGGAAGGATGGGTGATTCAATACATGGCATTAAAGCCATATGAGAACATTTTTATCCTTTGTTTTGTGTAAAACATTAGTTCTAGAAGATTAAAAACCTAAATGTTAAAAGTAAAGCTTTAAAAATAAGAAAGATCGGGCCCTCCCTGGTGGCGCAGTGGGTTAAAGCACTGAACTAAGAAGCTTAAGCCAATTCCGCATGAGTTCGATCCCTGCCTGCCCTGGAGGAGATCCACATGGCGTGGCAGACCTCTCCTGACCCGCCTGCTGTTCCCCTCAGCAGTGTACTTCGATCTGCCTGCTCTGCTCCCCACTCTGTTCCTGGTGAATCCTCTCACCCTCCACATGTCTGGCCTGTACCCCAGTTCTGTATGAATAAATAAATCTTTAAAAAAAAAAAATAAGAAAGATCAGTTATCAATTTGACCTACAGATTTTATGTGATTCTAAACCAAATGTCAGCAAGTTATGTTGTGAACATTGACAAACTGATTCTAAAGTTCATATGGAGAGCTGCAAAAGGTACAGAGTAACTAATGATTCTGAGGAACCACAAAATCAGAAGGCAGATACCACCGAGCTTTGAGGTTTATTATAGCTACAGTAATCAAGACCATGTAGTGGTGTTGGTGAAAGAATAGATAAGTGGAATATGTGTACATATGGAAGAGCAAAACTGTAAATTAAAACAAAAAAATAAGACCAATAAAAAATGGGCAAAGAATCAAGACAAATATCAAGACGATGTAGATAATAATCATACAAGAACATGTTCAACAAGTCATGAGAAAATTGCAACTTAAAACAACAGTGAGCCTATTAGAATGGCAAAAATCTCAAATAAAGCACCACATACTGGCAAGGATTTGGAGAAATAGGAACTACCATTCAACATTGGTAAGATGCAAAATGGGATAGCCACTTTAGAAGACAGTCTGGTAGATTCTTAAAAAATTAAACGTAATATGACTTAGTGATCTTGTTCCTTGATATTTACCCAAATGAACTTATACCCACATGAAAATCTGCACACAAAAGTTTTTAGCACCTTTATTCAAATTGCCAAATCTGAAAAGGCAGCCAATCTGAAAAGGCTATATAGACAGTATGATTCCAACTCTATACAACACTTTGCAAAAGGCAAAACTATTGAGACAGTACAAAGATCAGTGCTTACCAGGAGTTTGGGGAGAAGGGAGGAAAATCAACAGGGGATTTATAGGTCATTTTAAAGTATGATACTGTTATGGTTCAAACAAAATATTAAGGATTTTTCAAAACTCATCAAAATTGCATAATGCAAAAAAGTGAACCCTAATGTAAACTATGAACTTTAGTTGACAGTTCATTGATTTTGGCCACCAACATATTGTCTTGCTATAGTAACTATTTGTTAATGCAAATAAATGAATGAAGAAAAGTATAATATAGGAATAGAACCCTATGATTAGAGGGCCTCCCTTGTGCGCAGGGTTTAAAAGTCAGCACTATCAAGCTATCTCTCCCTACCCAGGGAGCTAGCCCACAGAGCACAACAGACCTCTCCTATTTTTGCCCACTTTTCCCCTCAGTAGTGTATTTCATTGATCTGCCAGTTCTGCTCCCCACTATGTCTCTGGTGAATCCTCTCACCCCTAACACCTCTGGCTTACACCCCGCTCTTGTATGGCATAAATAAATAAATAAAAATAAATCTTTTTAAAAGGAATCCTATGATTACAAGTTAAGGATGGATTTGCTAAACAAGACTTATAAAATACTCATCATGAAAGAAAAGACTAAAAACTTGAAAATACTAACATTTAAAACTTCATGATATTATTATGACCAAGTGTAAAAAAAAAAGATTATGGGCCCTCCCTGGTGGTGTAGCGGGTTAAAGCACAGCACTGAGAATCTAAAGCCGCTTCCGCATGAGTTTGATCCCGCCTGCCCCGGAGGTGACCACATGGCGCGGCAGACCTCTCCTGACCCGCCCGCTGCTCCCCTCAGCAATGTACTTCATTGATCTGCCTGTTCTGTTCCCCACTCTGTCTCTGGTGAAGCCTCTCACCACCCCTGCACCTCTGGCCTGTACCCCAGTTCTGTATGCACAAATAAATAAATCTTTAAAAAAAAAAAAAGATTATGGAGATATGTATAATTAAACAAGAATTCAGAATATCACTAAGCAGTAAGAAAGCCAAATGGAAATGGACAGACTGTCAACTCAGAAGAGAAAATCCAAACAGACAATAAACTTGCGAAAACATACCCCTCTAACCGAGGTAAAATAAAAATAGCCTCCATCAGTTTGGAAGATTTTTTTAATTTTGATAATGCCAAGTATACACTGCCAGAGGAAGGTAAACCTACTTGGAGAAAAACAATTTGGGAAAATAATTTTGCATATGCTTTCTTTCCCATCTACCAATTTCAGTTCCAGGTAAATGAAAAATGCCACAAATGTCCATGAAAAGCTATTAGAACAATGCACACTGCGGTATCATCTGCAATAGCTAACAACTGGCAACCATCTACCTGTCTGTCAAAGGGGGAAATGATTGGATGAATGAATAGGTTGATGGACCCATGGATATATAGTTAGGCAGGCAGACATACATGCATACATACATACATCCTGCAAGAGAAGGAAGGTGACAGATGGGATATCTGCATTGACTTATGTACATATTCAGAAGTCAGAAATCAAGCCTTAACTCTAAGGATCAAAAAGCACCTCTTGTTAGATTGCAAACAGTTGCATTTTTTTTTTCTGCACCTATTTTCATCACTATTCTCATCTGTTTTTGCTTCCTTGTGATTTCTGTGTACTAGTTTCTCTTCCTGGGTCTCCCAATCATTATATATTACTCAAAAGTTGTTCCCAAGGAGAACTTTCGATTGCTTCCTTTAACACCACAACCATTTTTATTTTTAAAATACCACTGGTTACTACATAAATCATCTTGAAATTGATGAACTTACTTTTTTATTGTCTATTTTCGACTACCATGTTAGCCCCAAGAGAGTAAAGCTGTGATTTGTCTTGTGTCGACACTTTTTCACTGCCTAGAATAAAGCCTCGAAAATAAAAGGTACTCAGTAAATAATTACTAGAGTCTTCCTTAGAATCCCAGTCATTTTCTAATGAGGGACAGCTAAATTGTTACCAGTTTTTAGCTATTGTGAACAATATTGCCGTGTACATTCTTGTACACAATTTCTTGTGCACATGTGTGGATTTTCCACACCA